CCACGCCCCACGGAGATCGAGCCTGCAACCTGGACATGTGCCCCAACAGGAAATCGAACCATGACCTCCTGGTTCATAGGTCAACACTCAGCCACTGAGCCACGCTGGCCGGGCTCACTTATTGAAAGTTTTTATGGGCCAAGTTCTGTGCTCAGGCCTAGGAATACAAAGGTAAAAAACAACAACACATACACACACAAACAAGACAAACAGAAGCATGGCTGTTTCTTTAAAGCAGGTCACAGTAGAATGGGGGAGGAGTCGAGAAGACAAAACCAGCACCATCATGCTGTGTTAGAATGCAGTAATTAGCATGACGCCAGGTAACAAAGATAACCACAGCCCATGTGGCACTGTGGGGAGGTCTACACCGACACGGTACCCCTCAACCCTCCCTCAGCCCTCGGAGGGAGGGAGGGAGAGAAGACCGTCCGCCCATAGTGGACACCCCTGGGTGCTGCCCAAGCCGCCTTTGGAGGGGGGACCTAGGCTCTCGTTTCCCCAACTGTTGGGAAGTTGGTGGCTAGGGCTCCCAGCTGACCCTCCCCAGGAAGTGCCTTTGGTCTGAGAAGCTGCCTCCCCTCCCCAGGATCAGCCTGTGTCCCAAACCAGTCCCTGTGGGAACACAGGCCCAGCCCCCTTGCCTCCGGGCGGGGCAGCTCCGAGGGCCAGGCCAGCCGGGCGGCAGGGCTCACTTGGGGCGTCTTCAGCACCAGGGGCCCGTCTCTGTGGACTTGGCCCTGGCTGCCCTGCGAGAGACGCTGGGCTTTTCAAGCATCCTTCGCCCGTTGCTATTTTCACGGTCAGGACATGTGGCATTTCTGCAACATGACCAGACTGAGCTGCATATTTTTAGGTGACGCGTGCACTGCAATTTCAGAGGACAGTGATGATGGGGCTTGAGGACCCAACGTGCCAATTATGGTCTTAAAACAGAGGCCTTGGCCGCACTCCGCGTTCAGATTGATGTCTGGGGAAAGCGTGGTAACTGAGGGGTGAATTTCATCTCCCAAGTGGGAGCCAGCTCAGTGGGCGCCATCCCAGGGCCTGGAGCCAGTCTCTGCCACACCCTCCCCGACTCCAAGCCTCCTACCGGCAGGAACCCCCGGGGATGAGTGATTGCTGTCACCCGGAATCCAACATCTGGGGTCCGGGCATCTCACCAGCACTCAGAACAGTTTCTTCATGAATGCAAATAAATGGTGAGACGACGGAGCCGCGCATCTCGGTAGCATTTCACAAGCTTACTGTTTGCCAAGAGCCCAGCAACACCATTGCACGTGGCATCCTCTCTCACCCGTGCTGCGGGCACTGCCACTGTGCACAGCTTATACATGAGGAAACCGACCCAGGGCCACTCTGAGGACCTGGCTGATACGTGGCGATGCCAGGGCTTGTGCCCAAAGTCTCTGGGTTTAAAAACCAGGCTTTACAATGCGAGGTCTTCTCTCTGGTGAATGAGGTAGTGGCAGCTTTGGGGCTCACTCCAAGGGTGCGCCTGCTCAAAGGCAGGATCTGTGGTTTGTTCATCAGCTTTAGACGTATTTTATAAATCGAAATGCCAGCATCACTTATTTTTTTTTAAGTCTCCTCTTGAATTGGAAATGCCGTATTTCTTATACACTAAGTACTTCTATGGACATGACTTCTGTTTGGTGGCGCAACTCTTTTTCATTCATTTTGTTATTTCTGCTTCTGTTCACACACACTGCTTACGCTGTAGGCACTTTATAATACAATGACTTTGAGGAACAAGTCTTCCCACATTACTTTTCTTTTTTTACTTATTAAAAATATGTTTTTATTGATTTCAGAGAGAGGAAGGGAGAGAGAGAAACATTGATTGGCTGCCTCCTGCACGCCCCCTACTGGGGATGGAGTCCACAACCTGGGCATGTGCCCAGACCGAGAATCGAACCCTGACCTTCTGGTTCCTGGGTCCACACTCAACCCCTGAGCCACACCAGCCCTGGGCCCACATTCTTTTTCTTTTCAAAATATTTCTTGGTTATTTTTGGCTATTTATTTATCAGATGACATTCAAACCCACTTTTGTCGAGTTTCCAGAATGCTCCTTTGGGACATGAATTGGAAGCGTTAATATGAGAAAGAATGTAAAAATCTGTGTGTTTAATTTCGATGTCATTAAGAATGGAATGGGATTTTTTTCATTATGTTTCTAACAGTTATCGCTGACCCGAAGGAAGCCTTATTGCTGTGTATTTCTTGTCTAACAAGACCCTGAACGCAGACCAGTGTAGCTCACACAATAGCCACTCGGGCTCTTCTCTCTGTGGCTACTTTGAAAATAGGCTCAAACTAGATCCCAGATTCAGCGAGGACACGCCGTCCAGGCCCTGTGGCTGGTCACTGGCCCTGAGCCTGTCAGAAAGGAGACGTGCTTAGTTTAGCAGCAGGTTCCCTGAGTGCATCCCAGCTCCTCCACTGAACAGCTCTGTGACTTGGGGCAAAGCACTCTTCCTCTCTGGGCCTCAGTTTCCTCATCTGTAAAATGGGGATGCACCAGATGCTCTCTCTAGGCTGGTGATCAGGGATAAATGAGTTGCTGTGCGGCGGTGGGAGAACTTCCTGAATACGGCCCCTCGCGTAGTCTCTGGGCCAAGCTGTTGGGTTCCTGCTGCATTTGAGTCACTATCTTTTCCAAACTGTGGAGATCTGAGTCTGACTTACGTACCAGGGTGGACGTCCTCAAAGCGGTACAGGAGCCCATACCATTGAGTGACATCAACACTTTCTTCCTGACTTCTGCCTGAATCCTGCTTCCCCTCACCCACCAGGTCTTGTCCCTGGGCACCCTTACATCCCCCCGCCCCTCGTTGGTCACTCCGCCTTCTCAGCCCCTCTGGGAACCGCCCTTTCTTCTCCATCCAGATCCCGGCCTCATCAATTTCACTGCCCTTCCTGACACTCCAGTTCCCAAGACCCATACGGCCGCCCCACTGCCAGCCTTGCCCTCTCTCACACCATCGTCTTACTGCTGATCGCCTCCCCATCTGCTCACACCAATCACTGCTCACCAATCACTCACTCCTCAGGGGACAAGCAAAGCCTGTATAGTCTCCAGCTTCAGCACCCCTCCCACTTACAGGGTGGGCCTGGGTGCACCCCACACACATCATATAATCATAAGACATGGAAAGAGGTATCACTTTACTATGAAATTTGAGTTAGTTATATTGACTCACATCAACCCTCCTCACAGCACGGATATGAGCCACAGGGAGGAAAGGTCACAGGATAGTTCCCAAGGTCACAGAGGCACTCCCCAAGAACACAGGGTACCCCCGAGGTCACAGAGCTGCTCCCCAAGGTCACACAGGCAGTGAGGCAGCATTTGCACTCAGGGCAGCCTCATGGCATTACGTCCCTCTGTGCACCACGGAGTTGCCAAGGGTGACGGGCAGAGGGGAGGGAGGGCTCTGGGGCAGCGTGGCCGGCAGCCTCAGGACGGCAGGCCTCTGGGTGATACCGAGCACTTCATTCCCTTCCAGGAAGCACGGTGTCCCTTTTAATGTAGACTACGCTTTTGTGTGTTTTTTAAATCACCAGATGAGAATACATTGGAAAGTTCTACTAATATATGGAAAAGCATGTTTAATTTCCTTTCCTTTCTTCTTCTCCCCCCACCCCCCGCCCCCCGCCTTCCTGCCAACCTTTCCAGATATCAGTTTAAGGAGAAATGTTTCAGGGCTCACTTAGAGTAATTGCACCATTAAAAACAGCTTTAAAAACTTGAAAACGCACATGCTAATGCCCCAGGGACAGGTCTGCCGCCTGCTGGCGCGGTAAACTGAGGCACGCTCCGGCTCCAGCCCTCGCTTTTCTCATTTGAAACATGGGGAGAAAGTGTTCTCTGGTGTTTTTTAATCAGATCAAAGTGCAGGAATGTTAAACCAGTGGCAAATGCCAACCTTCTCTCCGACGCTCTAATCCCAGGTCCACCTTCAAAGGAAAATGGGATTTTCTTAAGCATCACCAAGAATAAAGGTAACAAGGAGTGCACCCTGCAAGGCTTCCAAATGCAGTCAGCATTCTTACTGCTCTTGCGGCCGAGCCAGGAAGAATCCCTCTTGGTGGTGAATATGGAAAAAGCTTGAGGAAATATTGGAGGTGGCTGCCATGCCCCGCTGGCTGGCCGGGGTGAGATATCAAAGTCAGAAGCCTTTCAGGCAGGAAACGCATCATGGGCACCAGCACAGCTCTGTGACCTTGAGCCCACAAGCTGTGACCTTGAGCCCACATGCACTCACTCGCTGCTGGGAAGGTCCCGGCCTGTACGGGACAGGACCCACACTCAGGCATCCTGACTTCTCAACAGACACCATCTTTCAAGTGAGAAGCACGTCACTCTGGGCTATTTTCCTCCTGGTAACACTCAAATAAAAACCAGATGTCCCTTTAATAACAGAAAGAAGAAGGGAAAAAAGACATCTGTTATTTTGCGATCATTTGAAAGATGATGAGAACGGGACCGGGTCTGCCTGCTGATTTGGCGTTTCTTCGGAGAGAAGTTCCTTCGCTCCTGCGCCTCTGTTCGCGTTCAGAACACTAGGAAGGTAACTAGCGGGGCGTTTGCCTCTGTTCCACCTCGAATTCCATGCGGACACCTTGCCTTGGTCCCTCCTGAGCTGGCCCTCAGCCCTCCTGTGGGAGGGAAGGTGACTGCTTCCTTAGTAAATCAAATTTCTTTCCTCCCAGGAG